CAATATTTACTCTCGCAGAGACCGTACCATTTAAACCATATATTTTTAATCCAACCGGGGGAAACTCCGCAAACAGAATTTTTTTTCTCGTCTCGGCGTACACCGCGTTTATCAATTCTCTATAAACAGCAAAGTTTCTTGCTGGCTTTCCCGTGGCACTCGGGAAAGTTTGGCGAAAGATTTTCGCGGCCGTGTGATACAATCTCTTTCGCGTCGCGCCGTTTCGTGAGGGCGTGAACAAAACGGCCAGAGAAATCCAGGCATTCGTAAAATACATCGCGCGCAAAAGGGTGAATGAGGTGGAGGAAGAAGAGAGAAACAAAAAAGGGAAACAAAACGCGAGGACCGGGCTTCGATGGGCGCGGAAGAGTGCGTGGCGCGTCATCCAATATTTCTAGCGAAGGGATATGTGCGCGTCGCGGTTTTTTTTTTACATATCTCTTTCTCTCTTTCTCTCTCTCTCTCTCTCTCTCCCTCTCTCTCTCTCTCTCTCTCTCTCTCTCTCTTTTCGACCGACTCCATTCCCGATATCTCTCGGCAAACCCGTGCGGTATTGGCAAAGCGCATAACTTTCATCCTTCGCTTCGTAGGTAACGCATACATTTCGGTCCCGAGAACCAACAACGAGGACATATAGGTCCGAGACGCTCGCGACCAGGGACGGTTTTAGATAGATTAATGCGACGCTTGTTTTTTTTTTTGTAGAAAGTACAGAGAAGAGTACGTTTCGCTCAAATACATTTTTGTTCGAATAATCCCTTACACGCGCGCGTATATATTTTTTTATTGCCGTATCTCATGAGGCTATAAATTCTTTTTGAATTTTTCAGAAATATGAGAGTTATCTCGGTAGGCTTATATATAATTAAGAGTGTAAGATGTATTGAAAAAGGAAATTATCCCAAAACATTATATATATATATATAAATTTGACAAATTATGTAACGTGCGTCTATATATTTGCAGTTTCTTATAATTTTCCAAGATTTTTCGAGCTCCCGGGCTAGTCTCGTGTCCGTTCGTTGTGCCCAGCCCTGTGTTTTGTACATGTACGCGCCCGAGGTAAAGAACGATATATAGAAAGAAGAAATAACTCGGCGCGATAATTCAGGGGTCTCAACCCTCCGCCTAGCGCCTCGGTGCTTCCTGTCCTCGTGAGAGTAATGCCGGCGGGTCCGGGGTTCGGCCGAAAAAAGCGTCCTGTTTTCTCCCTTGCCTTTCGTTCTTTCTCTTTTTCTCCTCGCTCGTTCGTGCTATCCTATTAAAGTGCGATCTTGTGAATCTCGACGCGCTCAGCTCGATGCGATTCTCGGCCGGTCGCGCAATCGTGTGCCGTCGCCATGAATGAGGATGGAAGGCTGTTTTATACGGTCATAAGGAGGGTGGCGATACGGATAAACGACGCGGCGGTAACGAATGATGTCTTCGTGATATTTCAACCTTGTCTTTTCCCTCCCCTTCTTTTCCGCCCGGTTTCTCTCCCCTCTGGTTCTTCTCTTTTTTGTACCCTTCCGTCTCTCCTCCTTTTCACGGCACTTCCGGGGTCAAGATTCACGAGACGAGGGAGCGAAGCCGGAGACGGGGAGGCGAGAAAAGAAAAGCGACAAAGGGAGAGAAGGCAGCGCAGCAGAACACGCGAGGGAGGGAAAGATAAATTGCAGACGTGGATGTGTGTACTGTGCCATAAAGAGCATGCTGACCAGTCCATGACGCTCTCAGTCGGCGACTCCGCGTTTAAGCAGCAAATCGCGCATCGGAGATTCATGAATGCGCGGCGCCAAGTGCCTTTTGATACGCACACTAGTAGAGACGGAATGTAAGATTTTTATTCCGTTGCCCGGAATCTAAATTTGTATGAAAGCGCGGGTCATGTTTCCCTCGTGCCCTCGCGAGATAATGTGAGTTTTGCTCTGACATAGATATATAAGAGAAGATATTACCTTCTCTCCTTAACTTTTATATTGTTACCTCCGAATCTTTGCACAATCGATGCCAGTCTCTAAACAACTCGGAACTTTCGTATCTGTACAGTTACTCGGAAATTCGCGCACAACATAAATCCGAACAGAACTAACCGCTCTAATCTAAAGCCTTGTACATATAGCGAACTTTAGGATCTCTTCGCGCACAAGATATCCGACGAAAGTTGGACTGCATCTAAGAATAGTCCACGCGCCAATTAATCTCAGAGTACATTTTAGACATTTGCACTTCATTAAATGCGCAATCGCTCGATTAATGAGATATACGAGATACTGTGCCGCGAATTGCGGCTAAGTTCCGTAAAGAGTAATTGAGCTGTTAATCCTGCAAGTGGCGTAAGCCAAGTTTTCAAGTATAATAGATTAAAATGTTAAAAATTGATGATATACTTTAATAAAATTTTATTAATATTCAAGTTAATGCACGGTTACTGTTCGATATAATACATTCGATTGGTCGAAGAATGAAATGCTTGAAAAATGGAGCTCGTAAAGGTCTGATCCGCACTATTGTGTGTTGAGATATTTGCTCATATCTAACTACAATGGTACTACACAGTAGCATAAAGCGGAACAATATGGCAATTCAATATACGCGTACCAATGGCATCTTATTCATTCTATCATACTTTTTTTTTTATAGAGTTCCCTGTACATTATCCGCGCCGAAATACTTATCATCTCTTATTGTTTATAATGTAACATAAATAAATATTTTCGAACTCTAAAATTATAAATTAAAACTTATCGGAGATGTGTGACTAACAAATTCTTTTCTTATCGCAAAGATATTTTCAATGTGGCTTCAGTGTTAGATCATTCGATCTACGTGATCGATGACTTCTAGCATGGAACACATTATGCCGATTTAGCTTCGTGCTTCAGTATTTTCGAAATATGACCCTGAACGAGCGATTAGCATATCAATGTTATTACGGAGTTCGCGGTGCCTGCAGGCAACGCAATCCGCATTGCGAACATCCCGAGAATCAATTCTGGGAACGCAGGTGTATGTTTTTGTGGATATACCGCATAGCAATCGATCTACGATGATAGCTATTTAGAGTAAATTGTAATTTTTTTATACGAAATTAAGGCGGAAATACGGAAGACACACATTTGTAATTTTTAAAAAGAAAAAGCACAAAATTGGTACAATTATAATTTATATTTCTCCTTATTATAATAAAAGTTTATTACTATCAACTGACATGAGTGAGTATGTGTGCATGCGGAGTGCGTTACACAACAAACAAATACATGCTTGTAAACGTAAATACGAGTCATGAATCATGAATCGGAGAACACGATAGATAGGTAAACAGTAACATGAATAAACTATGAAAATTGAATAATATACGAATATGAAACGCGTATCTAATTTCGTATTTATATAAGAATAGGCTCAACTAAGATAACACATCCTCGGAAATTGAGAAATCTGATCTATTCTACGCGTACGGGGGAAACGAATGAAGGATTCCACGTGGGGCACGAGCGTGCCACGCGTTCGCCGACAATGGGTCCTAATGCCGGGCGAATGACGACGCGTAACAAACCGTATTCAACAAAAACTTTCGGCCGGCCGACAAATTGAATCCGAAGGACTCGGAACTGCCGGCAGCCACCCTTCCGTGCGAAGGTGGTGAGTTAAGATCGTGCGTGTCCGTGAGATCGCGGGTGACGGCACGGGACGTTCGTCGGAGGGAGACGAGGAAACGGGATAGCAGTCCTGGTGAGAGCGAGATAAACCGCGCGTGCAAGATATAGTGAAGGAAAGAGCGAAGGAGCGACGCTTGAGACTGAGCGAGGGAAGAAAGGGGAGAGGTGGGAGACCGCGAGAGATCGTCGGCGCGCGCTGGTGGGGAGAGAGGGTGGGGGGGGAGATTGAAGGGCGGTCGACGCAGGCGCGACTCGCGACAGAACGGCTTCGCGCGGCGACGCTCAGTCTCGTCCGTCGCAATCCAGTGCAGATATACGTGCAATTACCCTGTCAACAGTGCTTAAAATCTCCGTTCGTGCTCTCGTGCCGTGTATGTTGGCACGCAGTGATCGATAACCCTCGTCGACGAACACACTGCCGTCGATCGCGACGCATTCCGCGATTGTCGAAAGAAGAGAACGAAAAAAAAAGAGAAAGAACTAGCAGGCGAAAAGAGCGAGAGCGGAAAAGTTCAGAGCGCGCGGTGATAAATTCGGCGCACTGGATGATTTGAATCGACCGTTACCGGTGTCGCGAAAGTGAGCAAGCGAAGAAACCCGGAACACAGTGTGAAGTTTAGCAAGTTTGGACAGTGAATCCGGTACGTGCCGTTCTCCGATACAACGCGCGCGGAAGGTGATACTTAAGAATATCGTCGATGTACAACGATCGCGTTCGTTCGAATAAGTAACAGTAGTCGACGAGGGAAAAAGAGAGCGTATCGTGACACCAGAGACAGATGTGGTGCCGCGTAATTCGGCGTAGTTTCGTTTACGCGTTTCGTTAACCGCCGCGCCGCGAGTGGTGTATCAGTGCGCCTGTAAATTCAAAGAAAGTCCGGTGGTGAACTCTTCGAGGAAATTCGACACTCCGTGGACTTCTTACGCGTTATCAAGATGAAGACTCGCCACCTGTGGCTAGAAGCGGCCATCGTTTTCTTCGCAATAACAAGTAAGTGGTGGACATTGAAAAATAATCTCTCGCGTCTTTTTGTGAAATGAATCTCGCGTATGTGTGTGTATGTGTGTATTCGTGCCTCGATGCACGACCGTGCGATATACAGTTACTTATATAAGATTTTCGTTGACGTTTCAATTAAATGAGGGGTAGGATATAATTCTTTTGAAAATCTCAAGATGCGGTTTTTATAAAATCTTTAAAATAACAAGTTTTATCTAAAACTTTTTATCTTTTATACTGCATGTATTTTACGTAATAATGTAATATAATAACTGTTTCTTGGTACAGGACGATAGCATGCTTTATTTATTTGAGATTGAAGGGCGGTCGACGCAGGCGCGACTCGCGACAGAACGGCTTCGCGCGGCGACGCTCAGTCTCGTCCGTCGCAATCCAGTGCAGATATACGTGCAATTACCCTGTCAACAGTGCTTAAAATCTCCGTTCGTGCTCTCGTGCCGTGTATGTTGGCACGCAGTGATCGATAACCCTCGTCGACGAACACACTGCCGTCGATCGCGACGCATTCCGCGATTGTCGAAAGAAGAGAACGAAAAAAAAAGAGAAAGAACTAGCAGGCGAAAAGAGCGAGAGCGGAAAAGTTCAGAGCGCGCGGTGATAAATTCGGCGCACTGGATGATTTGAATCGACCGTTACCGGTGTCGCGAAAGTGAGCAAGCGAAGAAACCCGGAACACAGTGTGAAGTTTAGCAAGTTTGGACAGTGAATCCGGTACGTGCCGTTCTCCGATACAACGCGCGCGGAAGGTGATACTTAAGAATATCGTCGATGTACAACGATCGCGTTCGTTCGAATAAGTAACAGTAGTCGACGAGGGAAAAAGAGAGCGTATCGTGACACCAGAGACAGATGTGGTGCCGCGTAATTCGGCGTAGTTTCGTTTACGCGTTTCGTTAACCGCCGCGCCGCGAGTGGTGTATCAGTGCGCCTGTAAATTCAAAGAAAGTCCGGTGGTGAACTCTTCGAGGAAATTCGACACTCCGTGGACTTCTTACGCGTTATCAAGATGAAGACTCGCCACCTGTGGCTAGAAGCGGCCATCGTTTTCTTCGCAATAACAAGTAAGTGGTGGACATTGAAAAATAATCTCTCGCGTCTTTTTGTGAAATGAATCTCGCGTATGTGTGTGTATGTGTGTATTCGTGCCTCGATGCACGACCGTGCGATATACAGTTACTTATATAAGATTTTCGTTGACGTTTCAATTAAATGAGGGGTAGGATATAATTCTTTTGAAAATCTCAAGATGCGGTTTTTATAAAATCTTTAAAATAACAAGTTTTATCTAAAACTTTTTATCTTTTATACTGCATGTATTTTACGTAATAATGTAATATAATAACTGTTTCTTGGTACAGGACGATAGCATGCTTTATTTATTTATTTATTTATTTTTTTTTTTTTTTTTGATGGTGCGACAAATATTATTCTTTAAATATTTTTATTTAATTATATAACATGACTATCATATTTTCCTGTATCGTAAGACACGATAGAATTTTATCTATTTCGATGTTGATTTATTGAATGAGTCAGTATATATGTGGATTTTATATTAGTCAGCAAAGATATAGAGAACAGATATAAAATAATATATATTAGAAATTGTAACAAATTCTCTCATAAAATTCATTAAAAAAATTGTTGAAAAAAAAATATAGTCACACAAAATGTGCTTTTGTTAAAAAGAAAATCTGTCTCAAAATTTGTTGAAGAAGATATCGTTAAAGCTTGATAACATGAAAATACCTTCGTCATCATAATAATATTACCATTGTCTCTCACAATGAGAGCATAATAAATATTTTCCATCTCCTTTTTCAAACGGCAACTCGCCAAGACGCCCCGGCGTTTCGCGCTTGCAGACAAGGGGATTCGGCCCCTTGGTGGAAACGAAAAACGGGGGTGATGACTGTGTAAAATGCGGAAAAGTCTTCTCGTAAAGTAGCTCTCCCGCTGGTTACATCGTCGCGTTTCAGCGCCCATCGCGCTGCACGACGCCACTGACAAAAGGGAGATATAACATTCGTGGATGGCCCGCGCATTTTAGCGCGTGTTTCTCGCCGCTTTTACGACGGTCTTCCTTGTTAATGCGAATGGTAGCGGGACCAGTCAGCGAACAAGTTACGATACAGATCCTTTACATTACAGACCCTTAGCATGCCGCGCGAATTTCAGCGTCGAATCATTGAGTCACGTGGTATGTAAAATGGCATTAAACTTGTAGATCTTTTATTCTTAAAGAAATTGTACTTACATTTTTTTTGGTGGCACCGATTGTGCAAGAAAATTCGAGATATGTTCAGCTAAAGCTATAGTTGTTTCTTTCCTATATTTTGATATTTTTTCTCTTTGGAAAAATCACGCCAATTATATCGAAACTTACATGAAATAATTAATCTTTTCACGTTAAAACATATTGTTTTTTTTGTGTTTGTAGATGAACAAAATATTAATTTACTGCGGTTGCGATATATATTGTTCATATTTTCATATAACAATAGTTGCACGTAATTGGTATGGAAATAACGATGACACAAATTGGTAGCACGAAAAAAAGAAAGTTTAGATTACAATTGTTTTTTAAAATTTTCCATTGGCAACGCATACTCTTTTTTTAATAATGAAAAATATTAATATCGTTTCATTTTCTGTTTCTGTATTCTATTAATGGTTTGTGTGAAACTATTTTAATTTCTACTCATTTTTATTCCTGTTCAGGAAAATATCGTTAAATGACGAATACGCACGCTGATAATTTAGACATTTTCAGAGAGTTTTGCTGGCGTTAAAGAAGGGTACAAGTTCTTGTGCCGCAGAGAGAGTATCTAACCGATAGCTCAATTTCGAACGTTTAATTAAGGGTCTGCATCGTGCTTAATTCGACGTCTCTATCGTTGCGCCGCGGACGATTTCTAGACGTTATCGGTGGCAGCTCGTTTCCCTTTGCGTGGAAATTCAAATGTGGAGAAGGACAGTCTCTGAACCCTCCACGACGGTCCCTTTTCCCGCGTCACTCGTAGTAGCTTGATTACAATCGCGAAACTCCATTGTCACTCCCGCGCAAACTCATTTGATTTCTCTTGACTCTTTTTCAACGATTGCCGTGTTTGCTGGGAGGAAAATGAGAACGCAGAGGGGTCGAAGTAGGCAACGGAAGACTGAATGTTTGAAGGAAGTATGGAATCAACGGATTGCCGTTTTTAGAATAGCGTAGGAGTCTGGTTTTTAAACTAACACACAAAAAAAGTTTAATAATTTTATTTTTTTTCGAGAAATATTAATTATGGTAGTTTTAGTAATTTTTCTGCATACGCGACTTTTGATTCATTTAATATAAAGATAAAGGGCTTCATTTTTTAAAGTAATGTAATACTTTGTTTCTTTTTACATACAGTTTTAAAGGATGTACTAGAGAGCCGAATCTCAAAGCTCTAGAAAGAGCAAGGAGTCGAATCCGCTCAAGTAGCTCCGGAGATGCAACTGCCCCATTCAATAACCTGTACAAGAATAGTAGGCTGAGAAAGATTCGCCTGCTGCTGAGAGTTAATAAATTAAGATCAATCAATAACTCATCATAATTGTGATCAAAGATTCTCATTGATCTTCCCAACCGAAAGCTCAATCCACGAAAAAAGCGATGCTGAATACGCTCAATAAGAGTGATATGGTTCAACCGATAAGGATCCCAAACAACAGATGCGTACTCAAGTTGTGGCCTGACTAAGGTGCAAAACAGCAATTTTATCTTACTAATCTGTTTAAAATGTTTACCGCAGCGATTAATGAAACCCAGCTTCTTAAAGGCAGAGCTCGTGATAGACCGAATATGTGCATCAAAAGAGAGATTTCTACTGAATACAACGCCCAGATCACGAACATCATCAGCGACTAAAAGATTAACTCCGTCCAATCTATAGTCAAAGGATAGAGCATTTTTTTATGGCTGAAGTGAACAACAAGACACTTAGATAGGTTAAAAAACAGATTATTGATTTTACTCCAAGAGTTTAGATCATCCAAATCGTGTTGAAGACAGAGAGCATCATCCACAGTGTTAACCTGCCGAAAAATTTTGAGGTCATCGGCGTAGAGTAGAAATTTTGAAAATTTATAAATCTATATAAATCTATATATAATTATCTATTATATATATATAAGTACCGTCTGTCTGTCTGTCTGTCTGTCGGACCGCAAACTATTTCTACATTTATGGATCGATTTTCTCGAAATTGGTACCAAAATTTTGCTAATTTTTCACGCACCCACACACTATATTCCACATTTATGGACCGATTTTCTCGAAACTGATACCAAAATTTTGCTACCATTTTTCACGCACCCACACACTATATTCCACATTTATGGACCGATTTTCTCGAAATTAGTACCAAAATTTTGCTAATTTTTCGGGGATGGCTACTATGCGGTTTTTTTTTACTTTTTCACTACCACCCACCCACCCACGCACCTACACACTATGTTTCACATTTATAGACCGATTTTCTCGAAATTGGTATCAAAGTTTTGCTAATTTTTCGGGGATGGCTACTATGTGGTTTTTCTTTAGTGTCACACCTTTTATTCGAAAAGGGTATAATAAAAAATAAAAAAAAAGTTAAATTAAATATTTATAACATTTGCGAAATTTAAATCAATAATTAAAGGAACTAAAAGGGAAATTGTTAAAGTTAATATTGATAAATTCAGCAATTAAGAGAATCTTATTTCAAAAAATCACAAATTTTTTTGGAAAAATATAGTATATAGAGAGGTTTTATAAATAGAAAAATTATAAAAATAAATTATAGCAAATAATAGTGGATTAATGGTGAATACATAATAATAGTGGATTAACGGTGAGTACGTCAATCGTGAAAAAAAATATGTGAATAAATAATAAAAAATATAACATCTATTATATGCTAGGTAAAATATTGAAGATGGATACACTTTGAAGCCTGCGCGAAGCGCGGGCCTAAAAGCTAGTAATATATAAATCTTGATTTCCATAAAAATAATTTTTGTGTATATTTACATAAAAAAGATTAATTATATAGATTGCTCGTTTATAGCCGTTTAATATAAAAATTGCGTTATACTAATCGTCTTCTATGAAAACTCTTTGACAATATTTTATTTCATTAAATTTGTGGTGCATTATACGCTATACCATATATACAATATGCATGTTAGATAAAGTAATTTGTTTAAACTTATAAAGGGGAAGTAATAATAATTCTCGGCTTACGCAATTAGTGAGTTAAAAAAACTCACTACCAGCAGGATGAAAACGAGGAGAATTTGTAAACTAGAGCCGCGCGCTCAACAAAGGATCGCCAACATTTAATGTGAGAGAATTACGCTCGCACTTGTTTTACACGAATTTATTTACACGCCTAGCTGTCGCGAACGCATTAACCGCCCGAATCGAGAATTACGTGTATGGAGTTTAATTACAATTTTGATGAGGGCGGTGTTAAGCCAGGAATATCACGACCAAGTGCTTCGCGTAGATGCGCGCATACGCAGCATGCTGATCTGCCGAGACACGGTTGCGGCATTAGGCGGTTCCCAGTTGACGCTCTCGTGAGACAGGTGGCTTAATTAATTACAGGAGAGAGAAACGAATTTTTAAAGCCTTTTTATTTTACTATCGAAACTATCAACTCTAAACGCCACGATGTTAGGGCAATTTAGTGCGTATTTCGGGAACTTCACAGAGTTACTTGGCTTTGCTCGCGCATCCAGTTGCGCTTCGGGAACTACCTTTAGTACCGGTGTTGTTTAAAGCCAGTCAACGCGCGTATTGGAAGCGAAACCGCTGTCGTGAGTAGTTATAATTGAGAGACTGCGCTATCGGAATGAGCTGCAAGCGACCAAGAATATTATTCGCGGATTCAAAATTTAGCGCTGGAAATGACAAATTAAACGCAAACTTCCGTCGCAATCGCAAATATTTCGAAGAATCAAGGAGACGTAATTTAATTTTTTATTTAGATGGTAGGAGAGTTGCATAAACAAAAGAAATAATAAAATATTTTTTTTAATATTATTGTTA